AGGTCCTTCCTTTTTAATTTTTAGAATGTCTTGCTCTCCTTCCCATATGAACCTCAACAGTGAATGCTAGTGGGCTATTTAACAAAATGGGTCTGAGGAGTAGGTGTCTTAGGTGGAGATGTTACAAAGAGTCATAAGAGTTTTACAGCACAAAAACAGACCCTTTGGTCCAACTTGTCCATACCGACCAGAAAACTTAAATCAATCTAGTCCCATTTGGCCCATATCCCTCTATACCCTTCCTACTCATGTACCCATCCAGTTGCCTTTTAAATGTTGTAATTGTAACAGCCTCCAACACTTTGTCTGGCAGCTCGTTCCATACACGCACCATCCTCTGCATGAAAAAGTTGCCCCTTAGGTCCCATTTTAAATCTTTCCCCTCTCACCTCAAACCTATGCCCTATAGTTTTGGACTCTCCCATCCTAGGAAAAAAAAAACTTTGGCTATTCATTTTATTCATGCCCCTCATGATTTTATCAACCTCTATAAGTCACCCCTCAGCCTCTGACACTCTAGTGAAAATAGCCCTAGTCTATTCAGCCTCTCCCTCCAGCTTCAACCCTTCAACGCTGGCAACATCCTTGTAAATCTTTTCTGAACCCCTTTGAGTTTAACAACATCTTTCCTATAGCAGGGAGACCAGAATTGAGCACAGTATTCCAAAAGTGGCCTAACTCAATATCCTGTACAGCTGCAACACGACATCCTATACTCAAGCACTGACCAATGAAGGCAAGCCTGCTAAATACCTTCTTCAAAATCCTATCTTCCTGCGACTCCACTTCAGGGAATATGAACCTACACCCCAAGGTCTCTTTGTTCAGCAACACTCCCCAGGACTCTACCATTAAGTGTATAAGTCCTGCCCCGATTTGCCTTACCAAAATGCAACACCTCACGTTTATCTAAATTAAATTCCATCAGCCACTGCTTGGCCCATTGAACCATCTGAACAAGATCCCATTATACTGTGAGATAACCTTTTCCACTGTCCAATACATTGCCAATTTTGGTGCCATCTGCAAAATTACTAACCATTCCTCCTATTCACATCCAAATCATTTAGAAGAATGACAAAAAACAGTAGACCCAGCACCGATTGTTGTGGCACCCCTCTAGTCACAGGTCTCCAGACAGAAAAACAAATATCCACTGTCACCTTCTGTCTCCTACCTTAAAGCCAATTTTGTATCCAAATGGCTCTTTCTCCCTGGATTCCATGTGATCTAACCCTGCTAACCAGTCTACCATGTGAACCTTGTCAACACCTTGCTGAAGTCCAAATAGACAAGCCCACCACTCTGCCTTCATCAATCTTCTTTGTCACTTCTTCAAAAAACTCAATCAAGTTAGTGAGACACGATTTCCCATGCACAAGCCATGTTGACTATCCCTAATCAGTCCTTTCCTTTCCAAATATGTGTAAATCCTGTCCCTCAGAATCCCCTCCAACAACTTACCCACCACTGATGTCAGGCTCACCAGTCTATTGGTTCCCTGGCTTTTCCTTACCACCTATCTTAAGTAGTGGCACCACATTAGCCACGTTTTAGTCTTCTGGCAACTTACCCGTAGCTACCGATGATACAAACATCTCAGCAAGGAGCCTAGAAATCACTTCCCTAGCTTCCCACAAGGTTCTGGGATACAACTGAGTAGGTCCCGGTGAATTATCCACCTTTATGCATTTTAAGCCATTCAGTACCTCCTTCTCTGTGATATGGACATTTTTCAAGATGTCACCATATATTTCCCCATGTTCTATTTCTTCCATATGCTTCTCCACAGTAAAAAACTGATGCAAAATACTCATTTAGTATCTCTTCCTGACACAAGTTCATTACTTAGATAGCCTTCCTGATCTTTAAAGGGCCCTAATCTCAGTTACTCTTTTGCCCTTAATGTATTTGTAGAATCTCATTGGATTCTCCTTACCTATATTTGCCAAAGCCAACTCATGTCCTCTTTTTGCCCTCCTGATTTCCCTCAAGTATTTCTTACTGCCCTTGTACTCCTTTAGGGATTCACTCAATCCCAGCTCTTTATACCTGCCATATGCTTCCTTCTTTATTTTTGACCAGGGCCTCAATTTCTGTCATCATACAGCATTCCTTACACCTAGCAGCCTTGCCCTACACACTAACAGGAACACACTATCCCTGGACTCTCATTATCTCATTTCTGAAAGCATCACATTTTTCCAAACTTTCCTTTACCTGTGAATAGCCTCTTCCAATCAACTTTTGAAAGTTCTGGCCTAATACCGTCAAAATTAGTCTTACTACAATTTAGAACATTAACTTTTAGATCAGGTCCATTCTCTTCCGTAACTATTTCAAAACTGAATTATGATTACTGGCCCAAAGTGTTCCCCCACTTGCACCTCAGTCAATTGCCCTGCCTTGTTTCCCAAGAGAAGGTCAAGTTTTTCTGCTTCCCTAGTAGATACATCAACACTGAATAAGAAAATGTCTTGTACACACTTAACAAATTCCTTCCCATCCAAGCCCTTAACACTATGGCAGTCCCATGCAAGAAGTGAACCCAATACTGACACACCTGATATTTATATTATGTAGCAGGAGTGACTGGATAGTCACAAGAACAGATACAGTCAGGCGAAATGTAGCATGCTTAATGCTATCCCAATTGAGATGAATAAATTCCACACTGACCAGGAATCAAAGTATACATTACTTTCAATTGTCAAGGGTAAAACAAAAAATAAAGCAAATAAAAAGTTTTGTATCAGTCCTTAAAAATAACTGCAGAAATTAGACATGAAATAATATATCTACCAATAATTAGCTTAGAAATAAATAAAACAAAATAATTTTGCAAGCACCTAATATAGTAAATAGTAGAACAGAACAAATAGCATCAAGTATGCATCTCTGACAAGGGTCCAAAAAAGGATTCTGAAACTCTCCTTTCATATTAAGAATAATTCCTGTACTATTGGTCAGATATTTGTTTTTGAAAGGGAGAAAAGGGGGCCAACTGACTTTTTAATCTGCAGAAAGAGCTGTTTATGTTGATACATTTTCTTTCTCCAGACTACATCTCACTGAGCCATAATTATTAGCAATTTGCCTAAGTTGTCCATTTACTGGTACGTCAAGCATGAAAAAGAGGCAATTTCAGAAAATGGAATGTCTCTTAAAATCAATCTTTCGAAATAATGTGGTAGAAGTTACTGTCTGATAGACCACTACTTGATAGCTGTCACATGAAGCTGCATATTAATTTGTCACCGGTATGCTACTCTGCACTTCATCTGTTTACTTTGCTTGAATTTTTGGTAAGCAATCTTTCTTTCCCAAAAAAATACACAAAGCATGAAAAATTATCCCTCAAATATGTTGTGTGTCACAAATGATATTTGTAATATTTTAAATATATAAAACGTACATACTCACCAGTCAGCACAGATAATAACATCAAAATGTCCTTCCATAGGAGACACATCCATCTCATTATCCCATCGCATTATGCTGTAATACAAGTCATAAAATATAGTCAGTTTACATCACTTTATTCGCGTAGCTAGTATGCCTCGTTTAATTGTATACTTTTGGCTAATTGTCACCATGATTCCTGCTGGGGTACTTTTCCATAGGGAACAGGGACCCTTTGTAGCTGGTTCAAGTAGCTTTTTCTCATATATGAACTCAAAATGTTCAGCAGCCAAAATTCAGTTTCGCCTTGTTAATGTTCTGGCCTAACCTGATATGCCACCCATAGACATCACAGGATAGTTTCCAAGAAAAGGTGGATATCCTGTTTAAGTTTCCTAGCCTGAGGGCAAATTCATGAGGTGAACATAGTACTTCAGTTGTCAGCCTCCCTGACAGCAACTGGCTCAGGACCAATCATAAAGTGTACTTGTGAGCATTTGGCATAGTGGAACACCGTACATGGAAGAGACCATGAAGGCAGCAGGATGGAGTGGAGTATTTTTAAATGTTAGAAGAGAGCTAATGTATTTATTAAACCATTAATAGCTTTAAAAACTAACGTGCACAGTAAGTGGACTCTGCACATGCTAATTTTTAATAGTCGGGATTTTCTTCAAAACTGATCCCACTCTGCGGCCACACCTTCACTCAGAATGATAAGCCCGTTTACACTGCAACTTGAGTTTCTGATTCATGGCCATGGCATTATTCTGATGAAGTGGGACAGTCTCCAAGGGAATTCCCAACCAGTTAGAACAGTGATAAACGTAATTTGGTTCTTCCATTGGAACGGATAATAGAAATGTAAAAATGCAAGATATATAACTTTAAATGTTAACTGAACTAAGATGAGCAACCTGATCCAATTATTCCCTAATATCTTGTCTGGCCTCTTTGAAGCCTTCATTTGATCATCAATAATTTAATGAAAAATAAAGATTCACATCATGGAATACTGAAGTTGTAGTATACATTTGGAGTCAGGATCTGGCTTGAGTTTGAAAGAAGCAGAGCAAAATGCCCTTAAGAGGTATGGACTTGCACTGCTTGAATTCAACACCACATGCAAAATGCAACTCTATTGTAATGTCAAAGCAGGTTTAAGAAGGTGTCAGGTATCCATGCCTCTTGTACTCTCGCAATATTACAATTTTAATCACCATGTGAGAAATTCAAAACGTACAAATCAGTAGCCACTATCTAAAGTGAAGCATAAAAATGTGTACAATTCATCTCAAGGTACAAAGTCAGAAGTTCTTGTGTAACACATGTACAGTTTTTTTTCACAATGCATTGACTAGAATTGGACCCCAGGGCTTGCTTCAGAATCTGACAGGTTGAATCTCAACTTTATTTAAGACATTATTATTATTATTAAGTATAACTTCCAATGACTCCAAGGTAAAGTTCTCTGAACCAATAGGATTACAAGTTCAACATGTTAGATGATGATATTTAGCTATAACCATTTGTTTCAAATTGAACAAGAACATCTTTCAGTGAAGAATTTGGTAACTTCAACAAATTGAATGTCTGAAAATATTTTCAACTTTTTAAAAATGAAGAACAATACATATACAAACACTGAGAACTCGTTCAGTAAGTACTATGTAATTCACATCTTGAAAAGTGAGTTGGTTCTACTTTTGAATTGATAAATTTAATTCTTGAACATTAGATTTTCTAGGCCAGCCATTAATCTCTCCCTTTCTCCCCTCCAATTTTCTCCTGAAGAGACCAACTTATCCAAAGTATAAATCTGCAATTACTTTCCGTCTCCCCAGTACTGTGCTTACTTGTAACAGACTTTATGTATGAATGTAGACAACAGACTAATTGCTGACCCAGCTCAGGAACAGAGAATGCAACCTTTGTTGGCATGTCTCACAGCACATTAGATTGTGCAATTACCCAGTAAACACGGTGTTCTGTAATCTATTCTTTGTAAGTAACGTAACACTTGGAAAGTTGAGTATCTTGCCATAACCTTTTATTGGCTAGTAACAAATAGAACTAAGATTAATGAAATTTAAGCAACATTAGGCTGCTTGGATGCATCCTTGTTTGAAGCTCTAATTAAAATTCAGGCCTAAGTTCAGGATTCTATTTTTTAAAAGTTAAATTATTCAGCAGTTCCAAGAGACTTTTATTCCATTATTCTTTCACATTAAGTAGGTGTCACTGGAATGGCCTGCATTTATTGCCTATTTTGCAACTGCCTTTGAACTGAACATTCAGAGGGCAGTTGAAACTCAATCACATTGATGTAGATCTGGAGTCACATGTAGGCCAAACCAAGAAAGAATGACACCGCCTTCCCTAAAGGACATCAGTGAATCAAATCAGATTTAAAAAAAAAATCAATGATAGTCATGTTGAACATCAGTGAAATTCGCTTTTTACCCTGGTAGAACTTGAATCCATGTCTTCACAGCGTTAGCCTGAGCTTCTGGCTTATTAGAATGGCTGAATTACTGAATAAACACTGGTCATTCATTCCGGTACTTCAAAACTGATGCCATTCGGCAGTGTAAAATTTTGTCTTTCTTGCATTTTTGGACTCAACATTCTCTCCAATCATTTCAGTCATAGTACAAACATCCGAACAAGGAACACACGTAGGCCACTCAGCCCTTCAAACCTGCTCTGACTTCAATGAGATCATGGCTGATGTGATTTAACCTCAATGCTACATTCCTGCATATCCCCGATAATGTTCATCCCCTTGGTAATCAAGGATCATCTATCGCTGCCTTAAAAATATTTAAATAATCTGCATCTACTACCTTTTGATGAACAGAATTTCAAAGACTCTCAACCTTCTGACAGAATTGATAAGTTTAATTCTTGAGCATTAGCTTTTCTAAGCCAGCCATTAATCTCTTTCTTCCTCTCCTCCAATTTTCAAATTTATTGAAACAAAATGCATAAACCAAAACAGTGGTTGTAACCAAATATCAAATTGAGCACCTGATCAGTGGCACACATTTGTTAGGGCTGAGGACAAATTTAGAACTTGGCTTCAGGGGGTAAATCATACACTGGTTTTGGAATACGATACTTACTTTAGTTTGGGGATAGAGGCTACATGGCACTTCTTAAACAAATATGATTACAATTATACACACGATATGGAAGGTGAATTGGTTCTGTTGCTTATACTTCCCTCATTTATTTTTGTTTTAAGCAAGGTAGCAGTAAATTTCAAAAATGCTAGGAGTTATGACAATTTCATATGGAATTCAAATTAGAACTGACTTTGAAACAAGAAACTTGATGTAGTTCAGAGGGAGGATGTTTTTGAAAATATAGTGGCAAATGCTTATTTATGCACTATTTTTGGCTAAACATTTTGCACTGACATCATCGACATGGTATCATCATGCTATTAACCAACAATCTTTTTAACGAGAACAGAATGTTGTTTAAGATTATGTATCATCTCTGCATTCTGTAATTTACCCTTGCAAAGTTTGAGTGTTTAAGTTATATGATCAATCAGCACATGAATTCCAGAGCATCCTTGTCAGTTTTGAATCGAACATATTGATGGTCAATTTTACTGTGAAGTAACACTTCCTGTGAATAAATTGGTAATCTCACTGTTTCGTATTGCTGTGAATACTTAGACCATGGTTCAGGTTTTTTAGTATATAATTTTTCGTTTTAGGAATTTAAGGTTAATGGTGGAAAATGGGATAAATCCAACTGTAGCATCTTGAAGTGTAGTGCCCTTAAAAAGTTGGGATCATGTTACATTAAAAGGTTATAGCTAGGAAGGTAAGATAATTAAAATGCTGGGCTTTAGTTTTTTCCATCCATATGTGGAGTGTGGATGTTATTGGCTACGTATTTATTGCGCATTCTTAATTTCCCAGAGGGCAGTTAAGAGTCAATCACATCGGTATTGATCTGGAGTCAAATGGAGGCCCAGACCAAGTAAGGATGTTGCATTACCTTTTCTAAAGGTGATTAGTGAACCATGAGTTTTTATGAAAATTGACAGTGGTTACATGGTCACTATTATGCTAACTTTTATGCGAGATTTTATTGAATCCAAATTTCACTGGTGGTTTTATCATGCATTTTATTCTTCAAAAGATTATGATCTATCAAGCCAAATCATAATATAAGTCCAGTTTGTCAAGTAGTCTCATAACGAGACCGTAACAGTATAATCTAATCATCTCAAAACATTTCCTTCTATAACTGTCTACTCTTATTCCACTCCCTAGTCCACTTCTTCCTTTGTCTGACCGTGGAAAAAGTCTATCTCCCAAGTCACTTGGTTTCATATTTTCTAATTACTGAGCCTTTGGTATTTAATTCATCATGTAGCCTTGTAGCTCTTAATTTATTTTACAATCATGTCCTTTCCATCATCTTTGATGTCTTTGTGCTCACTATAATGATTAACCTTTAATATCTTACAACGCATTTGAATGTATCTAGCGAATGATAGAATAAAGCATTCATTATCAAATCTGTCTAGAATACTGGCAATATAAGATCTTTTATATGCTCTTAATCTTTAAAACTATTCCAACTCAAAGATCCTCCAAGAAGGCAAAGCCAATATTCTCTACACCCCACTGAACATTTTCCTAAATCACATTTTTCACTGCTTCTACCTTTGTCTCCAACAATAAATGTGATGAGCAAATGGACATTTTTATGACGAAGATTGGAGCTATCCATTCAGTTGACTACACTGTTTTACTCCTTTCCCTGGTCTATTGGGACAAAGTTCCATGAGGACTCCCTCCTTGCACTAACCTGAATTTGTACCTTTCTCTTATTTTTTTAATGTTGTTGATCAAACCCAGTCTTTACTTTCCAGCATTTTCTGTTTCTGATTTCCAGCATCTACAGTCCTATCATTTTCTTATGGCTGAACTGGTCTCTTTGCATCCTGGATGTTATATCTGATCCTGGGAAGACGCCACAAGCATATCCATTTGATAATCGTCCCCCAGTGCACTCCCCCCACCGCCCCAACACCCTTGACCCCCAACATTCACATTTGGCACAAAGTT